CCATTAGATGTTATCCATGACGACACATTCGTTGTTAAGTTGTTTAGTAATTATTATTAGTGTTTAATAATTGATCCATTGTTAGCTATTGCTTCATTGTGTTTGAGGTTGTTTATAAATTATTATTGGTATTTAGTAATTGCTCAGATGTTAACTAATTGTTATGTTGTGTTTGAAGTTGTGAAAGTGTTATGATGTGTTTTAAAGTTTGTTTACCATCTATACTTGGTTATGTATATGATGATTCATTGTTAGTTGACCTTGTTCAATTGTTGTTTTAAATCTTTGGTGAATGATTTTCATTGAAGCTTTACTCAAGCTAATTATTTAGTTGAATTGTTTCTATTGTTTAGTTATAATTTTATTGTTGAAGTTGTTGTTATGATTTCAAGTTGGAAGACTAATTAATTTGTTGATTTTAGTTGATTTATGTGGCTGGAGTTGTTACTCCTTATATGTTGATTTGTCATTTTCTATCACAACCTTACCCTTTCTTTTTCTTGTGGTTGCAACTATAATGATACTTGGTATGAGAGTAGAACATGATTTGTAAGTTTGCTTGGTTAGTTGGTGGAGAGTCATGTTGATGATAACTCCTTTTGGTGATGCTACTTTGATGTAGTGGTCTTTATTTATACATTTGACTGATGATTAGGAATTATTATGTATATAGTGGTGTATTTATGTATATTAAATATATGTACAAGATTCGTGTGTAAGTTCCTATGGGGATTTATGTTTTCCAACTAATGAACAAGAATTATTTTTTAACTTTTGTACCTTATACACAGTGATATATAAATCCATAAATTTTAGATAGTAAGGGTATCACTTATGCATAAAGTTGTAGCATTAAACATATAATTTCACATTTTTTTGAAATATAAACATACATCACAATTACTCTTTATGAGATTTTATATTTTAAAGACTTTGAATAATATTTTTATTTTTAACACTTTCAAAAATATATTTTGTATATAAATAACTAAACAATCATTTAATCTCTTGTATAAAAAATTTTTGACCCATCTTTTTTTTTAAAATATAGTATAATATAGACTTTTGTCAACCATCACCCTTTTGTGTGTGTGTGTTAAACAAGAGAAAAAGAGACATTTTGTATTTTGTTATTAAAAAAATATAAAAATGCATTAAAAATGATAAGAGAGTGTATAGTTAACTCTATAATAGCGAGTAGTTTGTTATAGATTATAAGATTGTACAAACTATAAAAAATATTTCAAAAGATTAATATATTGAATTTTAATTTTTTTTTACAAAATAATAGGAAATAATAAAACATATAATTTTAGTTTGATAAATGAGAGATTATATATATATAATAGAGGCATTTGCACCACACTCATACTCATAAATTTGTTCTTACTTATACATATTTATTATATGAATAATTATAAAACTGTTGTATGATAATTAGTTGATTATTGTTTAAATTAAATTTTTACTTCATAATAATTAAATTATATTAAGTATAGTAATATCTTAGATTGTTACGTTCAATACTTAAAATATTTATTATTATATATATTTTCAATCATATCAATTACTATTTTTTTTATCTCAAATATTTATACTCTATATGTGTTTTAAAAATCTCTTTTCCTTTTTTTATTAGCAAAGAGAACGTATATCGAAAAGGTTACAAGGATATCCATATCCATATATTAAATACAATGTTTTTTGTGCCATAAACCGTCAAATAAAACATTATAATTTTAAAAATTATGTTAACCGTCACAAACAATTTCATTTTTTAAAACACATTTAAACCGCCACAATTTATTAAATACCTTACTTATATTCCTTTATCGTTGAATAGTAAAATTACTTTAATTTTATTTGATGTTAACTGTGTTAAAAAATAGATCGAATAAATTTGTCATTTTAAATGTTGATAGTAAAATGTTAGAAATGTTTAATTGAAAAACTTTGATTAATAATTTTGTAATAAAAAATTGAACTTTAAACATTAAGACCTATAAAAAAATATGAACTGAAAATTATATTAAACTTAAAATATATTTAAATATCTCTTAAGGCGTCATAATTTCTATACGGCTTTTACATAGTTGTGATATAGTTGGGAATATAAATGTTTCGTTGGAGTATTTTTGTGGATACAGGAAAGAAGTACTGCTATTATATATCTTTATGGTATGCATGTTATTATGTTCCTATTATCAACTTTGTATGTGTAGAGTTTTCCTAAAGTAAATGTTTGAAAAGAATTAAATTAAATCTCATTAAGCATTATCAATAGTGATCTAATCATGCAGATTAGCAAACCAAATTCAACATGAATATCTTATATATATGTTGGAGGACTCTAATTATCTAACAAATTAAAATGCATTCCTAATTTTAACTTTATCCAGCTCAATTTTTAAGCCAAATATTGCATATGCTTGCGGCCGGAATAGTATATGCAGTGCATATCGTCTTTAGTAGGAGTGTCTAAAAAATTTAAGTCCATATTAATCGGTTCATAATCCAATTAATCACATTTAAAAATCTAATCTGTTTTGAAAAATAAATTTAAATCGATCTATTTTGTAAAATTAGTTTGATAAAAAGTAAGTTAATTCAATTTGATTCAATTTTCTTAAAAAATTTATTTATATAAATATAAAATAAATAATCACATTGAGTTAATTTAATTTTTAAAAAAAATATTTATATTTAAAAAAATTCAAACTGATATATTTTATGAAAAAAGTGGATCATTTAATTGATCCATTTAAATTAATTTAAATTTTTTAAAAATCTGAACCATAAACATTCTCGGTCTTTACTTTCTAATACTATTTAAACGCATTTCCTCATTACAATATCTCAAGGGAATTCATGCTTTCTCCCGAGATGTAATTTTTCGTGGGAAAATTTTATCTCTTGAAAAAAAGTTGTGTAGTAAACTATTTCTATAAACTTTAGTGGAAAAAATTGAGTAGAACAAGTGACATTTGAGCCTAGCCGAACATAGCAAATCTCGTCCAATTTAAATTATAAGAAAAACATTACTTAGCTAGCTTATTATAATTTTAGTTAGCATTAGGAACCGTAAGTGAGTCAAAACATGAATTATGTTTCAGTGAATTATGTTCTAGTTGGTACTAGGTTCGTACACTCTCAAGCTGTAATGGATTATATGTTGTGAATTCACATGGAAATTGAAATTGTGCCGATAATTGTTACTCCTTTCCGATCGAAAGAGATATATAGGAATGCGTACACTATTAAATTTTCGATCTTCTACTTTGGTTGTTCATTTCCCATTTATTTTCCAACTTTGCAACCATAAGAAGACAAAATCACCGACACAATTATTGAAGTTCCACCCCAACGGTGGTCCTTTATCAAAAGTTCTACCGCGACGTGAAGGAATATTGGCTTGGTACTTGAACCTGAGTAAGACGAATCTAGACATGTAAGAAGGCTAAATTAATTTTTTTTTTTTTTTTTTTTTTTTTATACCCGTACCCGCGGATAATACCCGAACCCGTCCCGACTTTGACAGGGAATACCCGGTTTGACCGGGTACGGGTACGGGTAAAACTCTATATATTAAATCGGGTACGGGTACGGGGATGTATTTACCCGCCTCGTACCCGTACCCGTACTTGTCCCCGTTTCCATTTTTAATTTAATACTCACTTTTAATTTAATTATATTAAAAAAATTTAATATTTTTTATGTGTGATTATTTATTATAATGAGATAGAAAAATAACTTAATTATAATTATAATATAATAAATAAAAAAATTTAAAAATATTATTTTTTTTACAAAAAATAAAAAATAAAAAAATTGAGAGGTACGGGTACGTGTACGGGTATACCCGATACCCGACGGGGACGGGGATGGGGATGAAAACCACATACCCGGCGGGTACGGGGACGGGGATGGGGATGGATTTGACTCGCGGGGACGGGGACGGGTATCATAAAACCCGTACCCGCCCCGCCTTGTTGCCATCCCTAGGTGGGATAGTTAGTCCTAAGATTTAACGCGACTGCATATACAAGGCAAAATTCGAACCCCTGACCTTACTTAAGCGTGGATCAAACCTTACTACTAAACTACACGCTTGAGGTTAGCTAAATTAATCTATATAACTTCAGAAAAAATTTACTTTATAAAATAATTTTTCTAGTTTTAAGTATAAGAAAAAATATTTAATTTATCAAGATAATAAAAACGTTTAAATTAGTTAATTATAATTAATAATATTATAATTTAAAAATTTATTAAAAAAATACGAATAAATTTAAAATTATGTATGTGGTAGTTATATATAATTAATAGTACTACTCAAAATTATAAGAATGATTTTTCTGATCAATAAGCATAACCAATAATTTTAGTTGTCCAATAAATATATATTCTTTCATAAAAAATAGTATATTAACAGATTTATAATAAATTCAGGATATAAAAAAATTATTAACCGATACATTTGAAAGTGGACGTATGTTTTTTTTTTTAATTATTTATTTATATATATATATTTACATTTAAGATGAAAATAATACTCTCATATTTTTTATGTATAGAAATGGGAGTTGTAATTTTTTAGAATTAAGTTAGATATAAAATTACACATTGTTAAGACAGTATAATTTTATTTATTTTTTGTAATTAAGATATTTTTATAAAGTATCTACTTATAATGGTGACTAATTTTTATTAAAGATGATAGATACAAAATAAATATATTTTTTCAATATAATTTATTTCATATAAACTTTAAACTTCTAATTTAGCTAAAACAAAAGTAAACGCAATACTCGTTTGAATCGATATTGGTAGTATCAAAACTTATCTTGTTAATCGTAGTTAAGAGACAGAAGTGACTCTAAAGGGGCCACTCCGACACTCGCAGATATCATACCTTACAAAGAGATGATTATTACTCGGAATAAGGGACCCAAAACCCACATTATTAAGACCCCTCAAGTAGTATAAAAGGGGAGCATGGGTTGTGTTATTCATCCGCAACTAAACAATGATGAGTAAGATGGTTTCCTTAAGCTCCCTAGTGCTGCTCCTAGCAGCAGTGGCTCTATCCCATCAAGGGCTTGCTGATTATATCAAGCCCCCCGTAGGAAAAACACCCACTCACAAGCCCCCTATTGAGAAGCCTCCTGTGTACAAACCCCCTCTTCAGAAACCACCCATTCACAAACCCCCATATGGGAAACCACCTGTGCATGAGTCTCAATACCAGAAACCACCACTTGAAAAGCCACCACATGTGCAACCACCATTTCAGAAGCCACCACATGAGAAGCCACCATATGGTAAGCCACCTATGCATGAGACTCAATATGATAAGCCACCACACGAGAAACCACCACACCAGAAACCACCATTTGAAAAACCACCACATGAGAAGCCACCATATGGTAAGCCACCTATGCATGAGACTCAATATGATAAACCACCACATGAGAAACCACCACACGAGAAACCACCATTTGAGAAACCACCATTTGAGAAACCACCACATGAGAAGCCACCATATGGTAAGCCACCAGTGCATGAGGCTCAATTTGTGAAAATATCTGTTCATAAGCCACCAGTTCACAAACCACCACATGGAAAGCCACCTGTGGACGAGTCTCAATATGTGAAACCATCTGTTGATAAGCCACCGTTTCACAAGCCACCACATGGTAAGCCACCTGTTCAGGAGGCACAATATGTGAAACCCCCGGTTCACAAGCCACCAGTGAAGAAGCCACCTCACCCAAAGTACCCTCCAACAGATAACACTCGTTTCTGAACTCTGTTACTAATTATCTGTTAAATAATTAAGAGGTGTAGCTGCTACCATTGCTATGCTTCGAATGCAGTTTATTTTACTAGTTCTGGTAACCTTTACTCTTGGCTTCTTCATTTATTTACAGTGTGCTTTGGCGGCCAAGACAAATGTATCACTAGTGATGCATGTATCATGTACGTAAAACATAAAAAAAAAAATGTTGCTTTTTTGAACTCCAGATTATGAATAAAAGGACTTTATGATTTAGATATGCAGTCTTTTACTTCAACATAATATGCTCAACTAAAAGATTCTTGTCGTACCACGAGAGTGCATGGAATTTACCGTGAGGTAGAGACGGAAGAAGAGTAGGTAATGAAATTAACAAAACTGTATGAACCTAAACTAATTAACATGGACTTGCTTCGCTTCAGATTTAACTGGGTGATATCTTCACTTTCAGCATGAGTCCGTTGAGGGATATAAATTCAATGGAAACAAAATTTGGATAAATAAAATATATCTTTTAGATAATTATATATATACACACAAGAAGTAGCACAGATAATCGCTTCATCGTTTCTCCCCCACATCGCTAGTTATTCCTGATTTTGTGTTTGGATGAAGAATAAGGGGAAGAAGAAAGTGGTTGTGACTTGGTGGATTTGTACTTTTATGACTTCGTGAGAAAAGGAAATGAATATGGGTTTGTATTTTATTTAAAAAAATTGACACTTGAATACATCCTAAAAAGGTGTCTGGCACCGCTAATGTGCAAACCCACCACCCAACCTGCACTTTCTTCCTGATGTCAGCTACACATTTAATTGATATTTATACTCCAAGGTGCTTCAATTATTTGATAGTTAATTTAGATTAAATTAACATAGTTAACTAATATATAAGTAATATATATTATTTAGATTGCATTTTTATTTTTATTATAATTTTTTTCTAAATTATTCTGTAATATAATGATACAAAATTTTAAAAATTAATGAAAATGTATATAACTTTATAAATAAGATATATAAATAATTATAAAAAAATTATGTTAAGTGTTTATTTATAATAAATTCACATCACAACATCCGTAACCCACATTGTAATAGCTACAGTGTCTACAATTGCAATTGTTAGCACAATTTATAGAAATTACAAAAATTCAATGACTTTCAATCACATACGGTGTTTTCCTTGGACATTGATTTTATCATGTTATTAAATTCAAAATTATTTATGAGGAAAAAAGTTAAGAACAATGAAAAATAAAGTACAAAAAACATAAAGCTAGCTAACTCTCTCAATTCCGTAATTTCACTGCGTTGTTAAAAACTGTGAAAAAAAAAATAAAGAAGAAAGTGATTCATATGTCAATAAGAAAAAATCAAAAATGAATATCACATTAGAAAAATATTGTTTCACTAGTTTGTATAAAGAGTTATTAATTTTCAAATCATGTGAATGAAAAATAAGTTAAGAATAATGTTAAAACAAATTATTTTGTTCTTATATTAGATTCTGATGTTGGATAGAATATTAAAATGAAGACTTATAAATATAAAAAAAATTAATTGTAGTGAAATTAAATCGTTTGTGACATTAAAAATGACAGTCGGAAAGCTTCTCTGGAATTCTCATATAGAGGTAGAGGTGGATTGAGTAGACTACTAAGTAGTGAGAGATGTAAACACAAAACAAAATAGTAAAATTAACATATAAACAATTATATTGATGTGATAAAAATTAATATTCCAACGAGTCAGCGTACGCTTACGTTGCTTTGTTTTTATATATTACAAATAGATTTTACCGCGAATTTCAGCACAAGAAAAAAAAAAAAGCACATTTGCATTTTGGATAGAAGATAGTGCATGCAATTAGTGAGAGATTGAACTCATAATAACAACCGACAGAAAACGATGAGGGGGTAAAATTCTACCACCCACAAAACATTGATGCTCGTGAGATATATTTTGAAATAGAAAATATAAAAAATGTCATGAGGAAAAAACTTATGATTTTTTGTTTTTTTGTTTTTGAAAAGTCTCCTGCAGTGACTTTTTTTTTTTAATATACTATTTTTTATTTAAATAACCTGGACCTATTATTATTTATGTAAATAACCCATTTTTGAGGTCCAAGCATTATTAAAAACCGGTTATTGGGTAACCGATTTTTCAAAGAATTTTTTTAAAAAAATTTCAAATAAATGACAATATTTTTATATTAAATATTAGAAATGGTAAAAACAAAGTATAACATTTGGAAAACATGAAATTACGGAACATGAAATTTTTAAAAAACACACAACATTATCAATTTAAACTTGTTAACTTTAATTTCCTTGACGGTAAGGACATTTTTGCCGAGACAACTAAAAGTATGTTCTCTATAAACTAACACACGTAAAAAGTTCCACAAAAATATTACAAGTTAAATTCTCACACGTAAAAAGTATTCAATTGTTAGGTATTTTGATAATCCATTTTTCTTTAACAAAGTTTAGAAATATTAATCCATTTTTCTTTATTAGACAATTTAGATTAAATTAACATAGTTAACTAATATATAAGTAATATATATTATTTAGATTGCATTTTTATTTTTATTATAATTTTTTTCTAAATTATTCTGTAATATAATGATACAAAATTTTAAAAATTAATGAAAATGTATATAACTTTATAAATAAGATATATAAATAATTATAAAAAAATTATGTTAAGTGTTTATTTATAATAAATTCACATCACAACATCCGTAACCCACATTGTAATAGCTACAGTGTCTACAATTGCAATTGTTAGCACAATTTATAGAAATTACAAAAATTCAATGACTTTCAATCACATACGGTGTTTTCCTTGGACATTGATTTTATCATGTTATTAAATTCAAAATTATTTATGAGGAAAAAAGTTAAGAACAATGAAAAATAAAGTACAAAAAACATAAAGCTAGCTAACTCTCTCAATTCCGTAATTTCACTGCGTTGTTAAAAACTGTGAAAAAAAAAATAAAGAAGAAAGTGAAATCATGTCGTGAATCGGCCTGGGCAGCGCACGGGTTTATAGTCGGCCTCACACGCATAAGAGATACCAATCGGTCTATGACCGAGACAGGTCGCACGGGTTTATAGTCGGCCTCACACGCGTAAGAGATACCAATCGGTCTATGACCGAGACGGTCCAGATATCAATATCATTATTTTCAAAAGACTATACTCAAGTTATTTTGATATCATTGTTTTATAGAATCTTGAATTGATTGAATGGGCTAGTCAGGCATCTCCATCGAGTTATTATAGTTCATTCTTTTAGAAAATATGGAGAGAGAAATTTGAGAGAAGAAGAGAGAATTTAGAGAAATTTATAAAAGAAACAACTTTAAAATATGAAAAATAAAATCAAGTATACATAACGAGTCTCAAACACCTATTAATAAACTAATATAGTAGGTCTAATCAGAATCTTTACAAGACCTGACGCACTAATCAACTAATTAACAAAAAAAATAAAACGCAAAGGCATAACAATGATATTTTTTTCACCCTTAAACGTTCAAATTGTATGAAATTCCTAATATAGAAGTCGTAGAATTCTATATATCTTAACTTTTCAAGGACACTAAAAACATTCAATTCCACATTTATGAGTCTCAGAAGTTACCTACGCAAGACATATGTCAAAATGGACATAAATTAAAAAAATTAATTAGAATTTAGAATTAAAATAATTAATAGTCTATTAAAACAAATCTCAATCAGTAATTCATCAATTTAAAAAAATTCTAAATGCCAAATAAACTCTAAATATGTATTAATTATACACTTTAAATGTCCAATATTCAAAGACACATATTGTCATTCACTAAAATAATATATATATATATATACAAAATATAACACACACATATAATAAGCATATGCAATAAGATTGTGCTTTATTATGAGATATAAGAGGATATAATAAGTTTTTACTAAAAATAAAAACAATTAATAATTAAAATTAATTATAGATACTTATACTATTAATGTACGTATCCACGACTATAACCCACCAGCGTATATAGACTCTTAAGTAAGAAAATTTTAATATAAAAATAGAACATATCTGATCCACACAACCATCATAAATAGATTTTCGATTGTCAGAAAGTATCCAAACAAAGATAAACTAACACACGTAAAAAGTTCCACAAAAATACCAAGTTAAATTCTCACACGTAAAAAGTATTCCATTGTTAGGTATTTTGATAATTTTTATGTTTAAGTTGCAATAAAAAGGATAAGAGGTAATGTAAAATTAATTATTAGCTAATTTAAATGAATAAAGGTAATGTTTTTTTTATAATTAAGCTATTTATTGCAATTATCATATCTCCTGATTATTAAAATTACAAATTAAATAACGATTTATAATTTATATAAAATTTTAAAACCGTAAAATTTTAAGTTGTAATTTTAATAATTTTACCAAATAATAAAAAACGTATGTGTTCAAGCGTGAGTTGATTGAAAACATATATTTCTCTTTTAAAGTAAATATCAAATAGAGACCTTTGGATATCTACTCTTGTTCTTCTCTACCTCACAGTAAATTAATTTGATGAGACTTGGAAAAGAATGTTTTAAGGTGAGCATATTATTTTGCATGCAATGTTATTTTGCACAATAAATAATTTTTCAACATATGATAACTTGAGTGGGAATAGTGTAAAAGGTCATTATGCATGTCTTATATATGAAGAAAATATAAGTTATACCTAATTGAAATATGAATAAAAGACTGGGTACACTAGGCATCGCAAGTTTCTAATTTGTAATCATTCATACCATAGATTGAAGAAAACATTCAATGAATATCAGGAGGATGAAATTGCCTCGACACCGCGCAATAGTGAAGAAGTATATCAACGAGTGAAGAATATTAACATTGTGTTCGAAAAAACGTAAAAGAAGTCAACTGAGAGATATATCTAGAAGAAACGATCAATATTAATTCTTTAATCTTCTTTATTGGTGCGCATATTACGTTAAAGTATTTGGAAATAATTAATAATATAAATATATGATTGATATGAATGAAGAGCACAGTAGCATGTAAATGATAAGGTTGTTTTATTCATATATAATTAAAATGGAGTAGAAAGCAACATAGAGTCATAGATGGTTTGGGTTTGGAGGTGGTGGACTCCTCGGTGGTGTCTTATGAACTGGTGGCGGCTTGTAGACAGGTGGGTTAACATCTTCTTCAGCTTTGTGATGTG